CCCCAAAACCCCAAAACCCCAAAACCCCAGAATGATTAATAAGGGTTTAAAAAAGTGATTAAGAATTATTTATTTCATTTTTTCCCACCTTTCTTTACAGATAAACCTGATTATTTCCCTTTTATTTATTAAGGTGTATTTTTATTAGGCGTATTTCCTGGATAAACCCTGAAAAATGAATCCAATCTAACTTAAGTTCGACCCTGTGTTGGAGAAAATTTCTTTAATTTTTTCAAGCCATTATCAACTTTCTCCTCATTAAAATTCTTTTCCTTTATTAGAAACTGCTTTATATTATCCTCATTTGGTTTATCCCACTTAAATTACTCTTGAATATCTTTTAACTCCTCAGTATAATCGAGCTTTAAAAACAATTCTCTCGCTTCTTAATAAGGATATTCTTCTGGAACTATGTATTTCTACTTTTTTCCTTTTGAACTATGTGTATCTTATTCAATTACTTATAAAACTTTTTCAATCGTTTTATAGTCTTAGATAAATTTATAAGCTTTGATAGATCCTATTCCAGTTATAGTAGAAGTATAATCACTTCCACACAGTATGCATAAATCAACGAATTCCTCATATGAAAGTTTTAAGGAGTTCAATACTTTAGATAGTTCTATTTGCATTAAGTCAATACCTGCCTTCTATTTAGCCATGCTCATCCCTCTAATCATGACATGACTTCCAAAAGTTAAGGAGTCCATATCTTCACTTACTGTAGCAAAAGCTTTACCTTACTTAACAAGAAAAGCACAAAATGCTTCTGCTTCTCCTGGAGCTTATATAACTGGGAATCCCATAGATTAAATGAGCTTTTTGGCGTCCTCAACCATAGGTTTTGTTACTTTTACGGTTCGTTGAGCCATTTTTTGCATTTTAAACTCATCTCCATCTTCTTCAGCTTCATCTTTCTAATCTTCTGCCTTTTCTCTATTCTCTTTTCTTTTTTCAAGAGTTTTGAATTTCAGATCTGGAGGTTTACCATCAAACACCCAAACTGCCTTTATACCATGCTGAGAAAATTAGATATTTCTGTTGAACAATCCTATTAAATGCCTATATTTTGGATATTATAAGAGTCATTTATTACGCTGTTTAGTTTCCTTAAGTATCAGTAAATTGCTTAACACCAACTCCTTTTATTGTATAAGTTGTACTAATTAAAAATTGATATATAGCCTATATAGTTTTTTAAGAAATGGAATTACTATTGAAGCATCACAAGCTAGCACTCTTCCTGAGAGGCTTTCAAGAGTTATAGTTTGCATACTATCCTAGGCTTTGTCAAGTAATAGTTGCATCAAGTTTTTTATTCCCATTCTAATATATAAAAGACAGTAATTCCAAATTGATATGAGGTTAATTAAGAGGATGGTTTTAAAAAATGGAGAAAAATGAGAAATCCCAAAGATTTAAATATTCAGATATCTTAAAGTATTGATGAAATTAATATATCTGTGAATAATAATAACTGATAGATTAGCTTCTAAATAATAATCAATGAGTTCCTCTTCCCTTAAATGAATCCATATAGCTGTGACCTCCGACATATTTTGAAACAATATCTTGCACTGGGATTGGCAGGAATGCTCTAAGTAAAAATATGACGTTACATATCCAAGGCATTACTACTAATTGCTCTTCTTATCTGATAGCCTGAATAATTCTTCTTACAACATAATGTTGGTCCAAAATTTAAAAAGGGAATTAGGATTTAACTCCTTCAAACATTCCTGTGTTTATGAAAAATGGACAAATACAAGTTGTCTAAATAGTTTTAATCATCAATAAGATACCTTTATGTAGCTATGACCCTGCTTTATCATTTCAGTTCTTAAAGATTCATCGATAGCGAAAGCCCCAAACTTAGAAGCGGCATAATCTGATGCTCCTGGAGTACAAACTATACCAGCTACTGAGCAAATAGATACAACATGACCCTTTTTTAAGGCAAGCATATCTGGTAAAAACTCTCTAATGGTATAAAGATGAGCAATAGTATTGACTTCAATTGTTTTTTTAATCATGAAATCTGAGTTCTCAAGGATGTTCTTTCCTGAAACTATGCCTGCATTGTTAATCAGTAATGTCACAGATCCAAAAGCATCTCTAGCTGTTTAACCAGCATTAGTGACTGATTCTTTGTTTGACACGTCACAAATAAATATGATTACGTTGCTATCATTTTTAGTCTATTCCTTAATCATTCGCTCTAATATCCTTAATGAAAAAATGCAAAAAAATATTACTGGTCTCCTCTAATCCCTACATATTAATATCAGAAAGTGAGAGATTAGATCCCATTTTCGCAAGTGTGATAGCCATGTATCTAGACAAAATTAATTGTAATGTTTAAGGGAATTTACCTTCCAAGACCACTTCCTGCTCCTGTTAGGAATACATGTTCTCCTTTTAGAGATTTCTTAGGAAGCCATCCCATGTGCTTAAACCAAGCATAAACAACATAAAACACTAAATATAAGTTCAAAGTTTTCATTAGATTTACATATCAAAAACTTGAAAAATTTAGAAGCATTGCTTGATTTCTGGAAGTCTTTTTTCATCTTATTAAACTAAGCCTTAAGTAGGAATAGAAGAATATCTTTGTTAAGTAGATGCAGCATTACTTTTTTTATATTAAAATCTTTTAATTCCTGCTCAATCCTTCTTACTATATAGTTTATGGGGTTTTGGGGTTTTGGGGTTTTGGGG